CACTGATATACGGAATTCTTGAAATTCAGACTCATCAACTAGAATATTCCCCGCTTTTTATAAGTGTCAACATAATTTATTGATTGGTAATGTCAAAAAGAAATATCGAGATATATATTATGAGGCGAGACTATAATTTCTGGACGAACCAAACAGTTCTCGGATTTTGGCGCAAAATTCACTCATCCATTTGTCTAAATAGAGTTTTGGCATTATAACTGGTGTTAGTTCGTGATGAATACTAAATGTAATTCCTAACCCTAACCATCAACTGTAAATCATAATTATAGTTCCTCACACTGGTTTATAACCGTCATATGGTCGTAGTTATTGGGCGGACACTATCAAGATCACTTGGGCTTCGCTGAAAGGTCATCCATAAATTATAGTCTCACCTATTATGACAAATCTTGAAAGAACGATTAATTTGATTACTTCAAAGGGTTTGTGGAGATGATCAAATTTTAAAGTTTATATCACCAACTGACTTTCAATAGTGATACAGATACCTATCAATAACACTGAAAAATAATGGCTTATTATAAGGAGTTGATTAAATTTATACATGTAAATCATTAAATACTTACTCTATGGTTTCATTGTTTGGCATTTGCTGCCATATCTGAAAATTCTAAGTTTAATGCCTCTTTGGACTATGTTTAGGTACTACTGAATAGTTTCATATTAGGACAGAACAGCTATGCAATTCTTCCTGGTTTCTAATAACCGTTTAGAAAAGATCATTCTATGATGAAGACGCTAAAGTTTATCAGCTAAATTCAAGTTATACATGAGGGAATATTCTTAAGTTTTCAACTTCACAAGTAAAATGATCCAGCTGATTTATGAAATACTATCATGATAAAAGTGTTCATATGTATAATTCCTTCACGTAATCAAATCATTCATTTCCAAAATGGACAGGCTTGATTTGAAATAAACAACCGAATATACAATTAAATGAACGGATTTTTCACTGTCATATATAAATAGAGCAATACTACAACCAAGTTAATTTGACGTGTGAAATAAAGAGACCAGTCACAAAAAAAGAGATTAAATGTCACAAATTAATCAATGATCCATCGTTATTTCCATTGACCTATTCAGTCTTACAAAACTACATGCGGTAATTTAATTAATAATCATTTATTAGAATAGCGGAAGGTTGTGGAGATTGTAGTGATTTCAATAGTTAAACTCACGAGATGATCTAAGCTAGATCACCATACGAAACCTGGAAACCTTGAACGAAAGTTTCGTCCTAGTATGGGACTCTTCAGCTTCCAGGATTTTAATATTGCTCAAGCTTGCATCGACTCATGAATTCAACTATTGAAGTGTTGGGATATTCAGAAAAATATCCCAAAAATTATCCTGTTAGGTCTAATGCTATCCTTGGACTTGAAAGGGCATCATTTTCCTATTGGTCAATTTTTATTTCACGTGTCATTTTCCTGTTGACCAAATATTGTACAAATGTTATATTTTATTTTATGGTACGTTGTGGTCTGCTTGATTGGTATATAAACAGAGTATGTTTGAAATACATTATTCATATGGCGGAGGCTGAGACTTGTGTTCTGGGCTTATCTGGATGGGCTAGGCGGAAAGCAGGGCCAATCAGAACTCTAGGCTGCTCATACGGTTTTACGCATCATTGGTCCGATCGATAAGTCACTGTCCTCTAATCGGCGGTCACAAGTTATATCATAAAGTTACTACACTTTCCGAAACCCCCATTCTAATAATAATCAACATATGCTCCCTAGTGGCTAGATACAAGATGGGTTTCCTGGAGTTCTAGTGAGAAGCCGTGACCAGTGGAGTCCAATCCGTGTCGAGTAGAGACAGGTATCTACCTGAGACAATCGATGAGTGGTTACGCAAGATCATGGGTCGATTGAAGCTTGCCATTAACACCGTTGGATGTCGGCTCAGTGGTCTAAAGGTCAAGTGTTCACGTGCGAAACCGAAGGTTCTGGGTTCGAGTCCCTTTGTTTCACGATTGTGGATGCGCACTACCCAGGAGTCTGATAGTGGGACAAAACTACCGTCTAGTTCTTCCATGTTCTCAATGGTTATCTGGCTTACATCGACTCATGACTTAAACAATATTGACTGATATACAGTGATCTTGTTTCATTTCAGGTAAATTAGAAATTATTCTAGATCAGCTATATTAGACGGATGCAAATATTGATCACGTCTACATTCAAATTGTACTTGATTAAAATCCATGTTATATTTGGGCAGTAAAGATGAATTATGGTTATTTGTAAGTGTAGAGTCAAACAGAACAAGATAAAATGATATACAGTTGAATAATAATAATAATAATAATAGTAATAATAATAATAATAATAATAATAATAATAATAATGTTTTAACAAATTTCCCTCTTATAGAAGAACCTTTTTTACTTGGAATAAAACGGAAAAACTGTCGTCTGAAAGGATCATGCAATTCCAAGTTAGATTATGGGAAATAAAGAAAAAAGCTTGTATCATATGATAATCATGAATTACACATCAGTAGATTTATATTGCCTACATGATAGCGCACATAAAAACATACCTCGAATGACATTTTAATCGGTGTAAACTAAAAATACACATGATGTATATATAGTGGAATAATACATTTACAGTTGACTTTCGAAACATTTTCCATATTAAATTTATATAAGGTTATATCTAATGGAACAGAGTCAGACTATTTCAAGACACTAATCGATACCATCAAATAGTGTATATCGTCTTCTTATTTTGAGTTACATCATCACTATGCTAAATAAAACCCCAGAAGTCATTTTTTTCCAAAATATCTGTTAGTGGTGTAGTGATCTGGAACAACCAAATCTGTTAGTAAGATCTAAGAAGCAAACGGTAATTACTTCGTTTGCAAAATGTCAATCAATTGTCACAAATTTGATTGTTCCTTCATTTCCATACCAGTTACTCTCCGTTCTCATTCTCTTTTTGATCTTCGTGACTTTCTGCCGTCAAACATTCCACTTACGATTAGTGATACATACTACTTATATCTGTCGACATCAGTAACACATACCACAGTGGTAGTAATAACCTCTCTGAGCTGGATGCTTTAATTATAGATCTTTAAGCATCATTCTGCAAAAATCGATTAGCCGCTACTTCAGATGAAAGTAATCTTCCCGATTATTCAACCAATATCAAGTAAATTCTGTATGATGACCTTCTTTCCATTTCATGTCATATTATCTTTATTTATCCTCTTGTTGCCGTTGATTATTTTGCTTAGTTAACCTTTGATCATGTGATTAATTGGTTTTTTTCTTTAAGGACTGATGAACTAACTCGATATCGACGAGTCTGTTAATCGCAGATTGATATAAGACGTTCGATTGTCTAAACTTCTGTATGATACCATGTAAGCAATATAATGAGTTAAATATTTTCAGTATTGTATTTAAAGACTGTTTTTATAGACAAGATACCAGAAGTCATCACTAAATAATTGAGTTGTAAACTGTAAATCAATTAGTTCAATGTGTACATTAGTGATTACATTCAGCCAGGTTACTTAATAAAATCACAATTGATTGATCGCTGGGTGGTGATCAATGTCATGCTTGTCTAGTCCTTATTAGTTCAGATCGAATGCTATCGATCATGTTTCAATGTGGCCACCAGTCTAGGTGACTCGACACTGCGGGCACTATGTATTGATATTTAGATGGTAGTTGGAGGTAGTCAACAGGAAACCCTGGACCCGGGTTTCGTGCTACTTGGCACACGTCAGCAAGGTAGACTACCTCCAACTACAATCTAAATATCAATACATAGTGCCCGCAGTGTCGAGTCACCTAGACTGGTGGCCACATTGCAACATGATCGATAGCATTCGATCTGCACTAATAAGGACTAGACAAGCATGACATTGATCACCACCCAGCGATCAATCAATTGTGACTACATCTCAGTCCTACAGGAGGTTAGTCACGGCTCGGATAGCTCAGTGGTAACGTCTCTGACTGTGAAGCTGGGTGACACGAGATCGAATCCGCCAGGAAGCACCAGTTCCCTCAAGATTACAGGCACACCTTTCTGACGAGTGCCAAGTAGCACGAAACCCGGGTCCAGGGTTTCCTGTTGACTACCTCCAACTACCATCTAAATACTTAATAAAGTAATATGGAGTTTTGTTAAATCTGGGTCAGTAATATTAAGCTTTACGACATTGCATGACAATATTCAAATATTACGTAAGAGGATGATTGTCATTATCTATGATGAAAATAAATTAATATGCATTATCATAAGTAATTTCCTAAGTATTTGTTCGGCTAACGTACTTCGGAATTGATGCCTACAGTTTGAATGTAAACACACATATACCCAGAAGAATAAACGGTAATAACTAAACGGTAAGCTTATTAAGAAGAAGTGACTACTAATAATCAGTAACTTCAAAGGTTCTGTATTGAAGTCTGTTATATGTATACGTAACTTCTGAACAAACCCCAATCACTTACCATCTGAAAACAGTTCACATGATTTCAAGTCACTTAAACTAGTGACCATATTGCAACTTGTTTAACCGATTAAAATAGACCAGCACTAAGAGGGACTTTTGTAGACATGATATTGGTTAGTACTGAGTGATCGTTTATAGTAGATATCTTAGTCTTACAGAATGTTAAGCGTGGGCAGAATGACGCCTTAGACTATGAGTTTGGACGATGAGAGTTGGAATCCTACAACAAGCATCACTTCCCTAAAGATTACAGATACACCTTGCACTGACAAGCATGAAATCTTGACTTGCCATTATTTGTCATCTAGCTTCTATCAATTAACATCAGTTGGTTTAAATATATAGAATGAGTTACTCTACATCTCCATTTGTTTCAATTACTTATTCAATAGATGAAGTACAATCATACATAAATAAACAAACTGTCACAATGGTACATTTAGAAGATCTATTTATGAATTCTACATTATAATTGAACATACCCGTTGATAATCTTGTGTAATATTATATTTATCATTGTCTTCAAATATTTGCTGACTTTCATTCAATCTTCTTTGATTATTATCACAATGTGATTGAATATTTAATTTTACTGGGATTGGCGGTATTCGATCATTTCGTTGTTGTTGTTGTTGTTGTCGTTGTATGAATGTTTTTAATGTGGGTAATTCTGTTTCTGCACAATTCGATATAAAACAACCTGGTGTTATCATACAATTATTTCTATGATCAACAATTAAATTAGAATTATACTTTGATTGATCTCCAATACAATTTTGTCGACATTCTATACCAATTGGTGATGATGACGATGATGAAGTTTGTAATTGTTTTCTCTTTTGTTGTAATGGTGATAATGATGGAGTAGATAATAATGAAGATGATTGACCTAAACAATGTGTAGCTAAAAAACTAGGCAGATGAGCACCTGAATAAAACGTATAATGTTTATTATCATTATTATTATTATTACTATTATCTTTTAATCGTGGAATATTTACACTGTTTGAATCATGAACACAATGATGTAATCCAATAGAAGTATGAGTTGTATATGGATTATATAAATGTGAATGAATTTGAACATTACCTGAAAAGATAAGAAAAGAAAAAGAACTCAATTAAGGGATCAAGTTATCAATCATTTTGCTGATCTGTAAACTGAATGAATGAAAATATTTACAGAGAGATTGTAATGAACAATCATTGACTTTATAATAGAAATACTCGAATATTGTATTGTGGTAAAAATGTCTATCTGAAAGAATTCCATACAGGAAGAAAACATACTAATGTCGTGAATGAGAACATCGCCTGAGACAATGCAAAATTATAGAACATCTTAATAAATTCTGAGAACTGTACAGTAAATACTTCATTTGCAAAATGTCAGTCAATCGTCTCAAACTTATTTGTTTCTTCATTTCCACATCAATCACTCTCTGTTCTCATTCTCTTCTCTTCGATCTTCTTGACCTTCTGCCATCATATATTCCACTTTCTATTGATGATGCATACTACTTTTATCTGTCGACATCAGTAGCACACACCACACTAACATAAAAAATCAAACAGAATCTATTCAAGAATCTCAACAATTGGATGATTTCAACTCTTTCTAATACATGAATCATTATTCGTTTCACAAGTTAATCGCTTTCTAGCCTCATTAACATAGTAGATAATATGTTGACAATTTTGAGACACAAGTCACTACATTTTAGTCTTTGAGTAGACATTAACAATGGAATTTATGTACATCTATCTGGTGAGTCCCAAGTCGAAGGAAATCTATGTCCCAAATTCCAGTGTTATCTAAAATCCATCTAATCTCTGTACCAGCAGATTTGTTGTTTGTTAATTTCGTACAACAGAAAATAATTCCAGCTCGGATGTAAACATTGCTGCGAAAGCAGAGATTTCAACACACAACAAGTATGATAATATCTGTACTGTTTAAATTTATTGTTGGGAATTAATGACATAGAAGTAGGGAAGATTGATCTAAAATGTAAAGCACTTCCACTAACCAGGAAAATGATGTTGGGAACTTGATGGAATCATTAATAAGCATTAATCTTCTTCCGATTAGATTTTAAAGTTTAAACTATTTATCATAACAAGCCGATTAAACGTTTCATGTTTTGTATTCAAACTAAATAACCGATATTTAATTCCATTTAACAGATAATTTTTTCAAAGTTTTCACGGAAAACTAATTCTAGCTATGTCTCTAATGAAAACCAGAAAACAGTAAATATCTGTTTTGTCCTAGTATAGGACTCCTCAGAAGTGTGCATACACGACTTCACCGCAAAGGGTCAAACTTAGGACATTCAGTCTCTGAAGTAAATGCTTAATTTTTAAACCAATAAGCTGACACCAAACTATGTACACATTTAACTTTAACCAACCACGATATTGTACGACCAACCGTGAGACAGTTATCCACTTCAGGTAATGGAAGATGAACACGCAGTATTATAAATTGGTTGAAGTTAAATGTGTATATGGTTTGATGTCAGCTCACTGGTTTAGAGGTTAAGTATTTTCGTCAGAGACTGAATGTTTTAAGTTTGACCCTTTATGATGAGGTCATGGATGCACACTTCTCAGGAGTCCCATACTAGGACAAAACAAATATTGAGTGCTTCCCGATTTTCAGTGGAGGCCTGACTAAAATTAGTTCTCAGTGTAAACTAAGAACATTTCTACAATTTCTATAAATTACCATAAATTTTTGTCGAACTGGTTGAGTAAACAAAATATGAAGCTTCTTATGTAGAAAATTCATTTTCTTGGATACATTTCTTTAGAGTTGGAAGGAAAAATAAGTAAGTTAATTAAAGAAAATAAATGTAAACCATAAGAGCTGACTTATTTTCAGATGTGTATTACAATGAATTGTTTTCCATTAAATTTGTTTTTATTAAAATTTCGGCAGGAGTTTTAATGCTTATCACTAAGTAGACAACGTACTTAGAATTGACTGATCACTAAATAATGACCATTTTTCAAGAGTTGAGATCATGAGCCAATTGAAGCTAGACCACCATAGATGCCGGCTCAGTGGTCTAGTTGGTTTAGCGCCTGAAGCGAGACCGATAGGTCCTGAGTTCGAATCCCGCGAGGCAGGGTCGTAGACGTGCACTGCTGGGGAGTCCTGCAATAGGACAAAACAGCCATCCAGTGCTTTTAGGTTTTCCATGGTGGTCTAGCTTCAATTGACTCATGATCTCAACTCTTGAAATTACTACAATCTTCACAAAAACCCCTTCTGATACTAATGACCATTTCCATTATTATTATTATTGTTATTTAATATTCCCTTTTTCATACGATATAGAATTCTCAAATGAAGGTATTTCAACACTTTTCCTTTTCTTATTTCTTGATTGATCCTGACGATAAATACTGAATGACCGTCAGTTACGTGATAGCGGTTCAAGAATCGATATCTGATTAATTTATATTCTTTTCGATGTATAATGCCAGCCTCCATGATTTCTGTGATAGTACTTTTTTATAATTTGTGCAGCGAAAGTTTGTAAATGTTTCATAAACATACCTGGATAGGTTATTGGATTAATAGACATAATAATGTGTTAAAACAAAGAAGGAAACAGATAACTTGTTGAAATATCTAGATAGCAGGAACAGCTAGCTCAGATATTCAAACAGACCCCTATGTTTGTCTAATCGTTAATCATTGATTGAATTCAACCAATTAGATTGTAATCAAACCATTAATCTAACCAATTCAAAATAGAATACACTATGGTAAGATGTTGGGTGTTTCAATGTGGTCATTAGTAAACTCTTGACATAAGTTTCGTTCTATATAGCACTCATCATTAAGATTTATTTGTAATTTGAATGGAATCGATGAAAACTTTCATTGACATTGTATATCATAAGAAAAAAAACGGAAATGACTCAAAATCTTTCTTCATAAATGTGGAATACTCTATAAGAGATAAAATGATGTACTATAAAGCTTATGAAATAAATTAATTATGATATCGAAAATCCAGTGTTCACCGAAGAGAGTTATATTTGCAAAATGTCCATCAGTTATCTCAGACTTGATTGTTCCTTCATTTCCATACTAATCACTCACTGTTATCATTCTTTTCACTACACACTATCCGTATATATATATATATATATATATATATATATATATATATATATATAATCATGATACTACTATCAAACTACTGAAATAAGATTTTATAATTAGATAATTATCATTGTAAACTTATTAATTTACTTATAATTCTTAATTTCAATCAGTCCCTACAATCATATACTTGCTTATTCTTCTATACTTAATAGATGTATAGTTATTTCATCAACACCCATAAATTAACTGTAATGAGTTTGGAACAAAAGATAAATCTTTTTTACTGATTTAAATAATTTAATCTGTCAATCAATGAAAAATTGAAAAATTCAAACAAATCTATTAACAGATTTAAACAAAACAAAAAAATATAATTCATTTCAAATTTACTTAGGGAGAATGTATGGAGACTCTGCGTGTAGCTCTTCTAGGGTTACTGCCGCTCCTAAGCCTGGGTAAAGGAGAAGGGTTGGGCATCGGGTTAGCGACCCCATACTGTAGGAAACTAATTCGCTTAAAAAAAAACGCTGACCAGAATGCATAGAACATTTATCAATGATTATATATTTCAATAAACAATAATGGAATTTTTAATAGTTGAAATCATGAGTCAATTGAAGCTAGATCACCATGGAAAACCTGGAAGAAATGGACTGCTGTTTCGTCCTAGTGTGGGATTCCTTGGCAGTGCGCGTCCATGATCCCGCTTCGCGAGATTTGAACCTAGGATCTGTTGGTTTCGCGCAAAGACGCTTAAACTCCAGACCATTGAGCCGGCATCCAATGGTGCTAATATCTAATTTCAATTAATCAAATGATTTAACTAATCCGTCCAGTGCTTCCAGGTCTTCCACAGTGGTCAATCTATAATCGACTCATGATCTTAACCATTAAAATTACTATAATATCCGGAAAAAACCCTATCTGATACTAATAATGAAAGTGTTTAGAATTCCATCTTATATGATAGAATGATAAACAATGTTTTATGTAGTAGTTTATGGATTCTAAATGCTTATTTGATCTGTTACAAAGTGAAATTGTCATTTTTATTTGTCATATGCTTTGATGATGTTTATTGAGAAATAATGTAGTTATAATATGCTATTATAACGTATGAGGATAACTGTTCTTTTTTTCGGTGTTTATCATAAGTCCAATATCTAGCGTTTTTTTTTCATTCATTTAGCTGGTGAAGGATGCATATAATAGTATATTGTTTACTAGGGATTTCATTTTAATCAACCAATCCTAGTTACGTTGTGGTGTGTGCTACTGATGTCGACAGATATAAGTAGTATGTATCATCAATCCAAAGTGAAATACTTGAATGCAGAAGGCTAGGAAGATAAGAGAAAAGAGAACGAGAACAGAGAATAATTGGTGTGGAAATGAAGGAACAATTAAGTCTGAGACGATTGAATGACATTTTGCAAACGAAGTATTTATTGCATGGTTCTCATATTTTACTAAGAGATCCTGTAAGTTTTTATTTAAATACATTCGATTGTCCCCCACTTTTGTTGTCTCTTCCACCACAACATATATCTTCTGTGAACACTTTAGTGTAGTACATCTGAACTTGCCGGATGAAGGTGAATAGAATGAATGTCAGAACTTGAAATGAACTCTTTAGTAATTATTATGTTCTTATTTGTTGCATTCATTCATTGAATGAGCGTTAAAGTGATAGATATTCAATGCACTCGGTAAATCGAAAAACAGGTAGGTTGAAAATTCACGCACAATTTTCCTATCCTACATTGAGAAATTAATAGTAGATTTTGGAATATTTCAGGAACATTCAAAATAGGATGACAGGAAACTTGTATCTCATTTAGAGCTAGATGGAAATTTGCTGCATATTTAGTCCTTAAAAGCCTTAAGATTAATAAATTCATCTGTTGTACAAACACAGTCTATATAACATAATATATAAGCTACATGAAACATCGCTTCTTGAT